AACAGACAAACAAATAACTGGTTGTTTCTTGATTGTTTCTTCAACTTGGGATACAAAGACATGATCAAAAGTTGGACCTTTATTCGAAACATTAATGTGGGCTTTGTCCACATGCCCCAAGTGCAACTTAACTACAACTTTAAGTATAGTCTCATGTGATGATACCTATGGTTCAATTGGTCCATAATGGTAAATTACACGGTGGACCATTTTTGTACGATAATGCAAAATTGCAAATTTCGAATACGAAATACTAATTTTCGTTTTTCTTAATTGAATCGAGGTAGTTGAACAGGTACGTATATATTTTTACGTTCTGCGCAATGTATATGCGGTATATTTATTTTTATGCAATATTTATATCTTATGCTTACGGTTACGTACGTACAATTTATCTATATTGTAGAAACTCATGGTCCATAAAGGATAAATTATAGGTGGACCATTTTCCACCATTTTTGTATGATAATGCAAATTCCGATCTTTATTTTCTTTTTTTATTATTATTATTATCAATATTAATTGAATCGAAGTAGTTGAATACGAGTGATGTGTATTATTTGTATATATGTCGTGGTACTGTTTTTATATGCATATACATAGTGTATTTTTATGCAATATTTTACTTATATGCCAATGCATATACTTTTTTATAGGGAAAATTGCAAAATATATCCAGTAACTTGGGTCAAACGGCTATTTTGTCTAGTAATTTTTACGGTTGTACAAATCAAAATCAAGCACAATATACCCAAAATCTGAAAAAAAAAACAAAAAAAGGCCAAAGCTACACAATTATCGATTACAAAAAGGTTGTAAAAGATGTTCAGTAACTCACGCATTTGGGCAGAACGTTCGCGATTTGATTAGTGAAAAGCAAAATATTTTATATATTTCCAAATTAATGGATATAATTCGCAATTTTCCCTATTGGATCATGGCTCATCCAATTGGTCCACAACACTCTGTCTCTCTCTTTCATTGGGGGAATTGGTGGTGAAAGTGAAAGTGAAAGTGAAAGTGAGTTTTTCT